GGCAAAGCTGCGCAGAAAAGAGATAACATGGTAGGCTGGAGGCTGTGGCTTCTGTGGGGCAAGGCCGGCCCTTGGCTGGTGTCTAACAATGTGGCGCTTGCCCCCCTCCCTAAGTGATAAGAGCAGTGTGCTGTATCCAGACTGTGTGAGCACTGTGATTTGTGCTGAACGCCTGCTTTCATGTTTTGAGTTTGGAAATGTGATTATTGCTAGGCCGAGAGTGCCTGCATAACCAACCTCTGATAAAAGCTCTGAGTGCTAAGTCTCTTTCTCGGGCACAGAGATTGCATACACATTGCTGAATGTTGTACTGCTGAGAAAAGAAGCATGCTGCCTGTATCTCCTGGGGGAGGGAGCGAGCACTGGAAGCCCGTGTGTGGATTTCTCCAGACTCTATTTTCTCTTGCTGATCCTGTCCTGTATCCTTTCACTGCCACGAACTCTTAACAGGAGGACTACTACATGCTGAGTCCTTCCAGTGAGTCCCAAATGCATGAATGGTCTCGGAGAGCCCTGGAACATATACAAAAGCCAACACTGGGGCTCTTTATACTTATTTATTTATTTATTTATTTTTTGCAGTTTTTGGCCAGGGCTGGGTTTTGAACCTGCCACCTGTGGCATATGGGGCTGGCACCCTACTCCTTTGAGCCACAGGCGCGCCCATCACTGGGACTCTTTAAAGATGGCAAAGATAGACCTTATGACTGAGGCAGTTTGACTCTGGTTGTGTGCTGCAGATGCAGAGATACAGAGGAGCTGGAATGGAACCTCTCTCTGTGAGCTAAAGCCTTTCTTACATTCTCAGGGTGGGTTTTCTCCTGGTGGTCTGGCTTTGATCTGTGTGGAGGGCTAATTTGCTTGCACGTAAAGCCTGTAACACCAAAACTGGGCTCAGCAGTCTCCCTGGTTGTCCTCCCCAAGGAGATGGAAGAGAAAAAGCAAGCATTTGCCACAATGCCTAGACTTCAGATCTGGGTTGTCCAAGCCCCCATCTCAAGCTTTCTCAGGGCAGGGTGGCTCAGACATAGCACCTGTTCTTCAGCCTCAGGCAGGAAGAGGAAGAGGGCTCAGCATCAACTCTAGCTTTCCAAGGAAGGATCTAGTGCTTTGGCTCAAAAATGCCTTAGCTTTTGACCCGTGTAGAAAGGAATGTGGAGAATCAATCTCTTTCCCGCCCCCTGTCTATTTTTGTGTATAGAGTACAGTGGGGATGGGTGGTAGGTGGGCCTGGCAGAACACAGGAGCCTGAAGTTCTCTCTGCAGACCAACATTCCCTCTTGTTATCTGCATTCAGTTACCTCAATGGGCATAAGGACCCATATCAAGGTGACCTTGAATGCCGTTGTCCTCCTCAGGAGAGTGGCTTCCCTGCTGTTGGTCTGAGCTATCTGAGAATGTTATTAATGGTTCTTAGGTGCCTCTGAAAACATTGGGAATGAATCAAGACAGGACAATAATGAAATTCTACCTCAAGGCCACAATAGAAGTCATCTCCTCTTTACCTCTTCTTTGATTAGCTGTGTTTTGGACAAATTTACGAACATTACATGATGTATCCCATAGAACAGCATAATTCAAGTAATACAGAGCCAGTAATAAAAATGTCCACATGCTTCAGAGTACCACTTTAGCTATACCCTATACATTTTGATATGTAGAAATTCTTATATCGGTTAGTTCTAAATGTTTTGTAATTTTCATGATAATTTCTTGTGGCGAACCCTAAAGCCTTGGTCTCGGTCACCGCAGGAAGGAACCAGGCATGATACGGAGTAGAAGGACAAGCTTGTAAGAGGTGGGCTAACCTTAAGTGCAGAGTAGCCCTGAGCCCCCTCCTGCAATGGCTGTTTATTAAGGTTGTACACCATAGGTGTGGAGAGTTAAAGTAATGACATACACAACAGGTGTGGAGAATTAAGGTGATTACATATGAGGGCTGCATGCGTAAGGATTGTTCTTTCCCCACAACTCTCATGAAAAACTACTCTAAGCATCAATGTTTAACACATGCTTCTTAGTGAGTGACTGATCTTACCTGATTCTGGAACACTGAGTTCCTTAGGGGGTTGCCTCCAAGTCACAGAACGTCTCTAGGCTTGTCAGGAGACTGTCCTGTTCTCAGGGTTTCCTTCTAACGTGATAAGAATCAGTAACTGTCCTTTGCAAGCATGGTGTCCATTCTTCTACAGTTTCTTCTGTGATCCAAGGGTTATTTGGAGGAATGTATCTTTATTCATAAACATTCTGTAATTTTTTTTTTTTTTTTGAGACGGAGTCTCAAGCTGTCTCCCTGGGTAGAGTGCTGTGGCATCACAGCTCACAGCAACCTCCAACTCCTGGGCTCAAGCGAGTCTCCTGCCTCTGCCTCCCAAGTAGCCAGGACCACAGGCACCCATCACAATGCCCAGCTATTTTTTTGGTTGCAGCCATCATTGTTGTTTGGCAGGCCCGGGCTGGATTTGAACCTGCCACCTTAGGTGTATGTGGCTGGCGCCTTAGCCACTTGAGCCACAGGTGCTGAGCCAACATTCTGTAATTTTTATGTAAAAGATTATCTTGTTTCTACTGATTTTTGACTAAATTTTGCTGTGATTAGAAGAGAAAATGCTTTGTATACTCTAGCATACAGAAACTTGATTGATGGCTCAGTATATGGCCCATTTTTGTGACTGTTTTATGAAAATTTTAGAAGATTGTGAATTGTCTACTTGGGTACAGAATTCCTCTTATATAAACATATGTTGATTGTGTTTGAATATTTTATAGTCTGTTTATTTTTGGTTCCCTTGAAATAGTAATTACTAGAAGAGAAATGTTTAAAAACATCTCAGTAAAGGGCGGCGCCTGTGGCTCAGTGAGTAGGGTGCCATCCCCATATACCAAGGATGGAGGGTTCAAACCTGGCTCCGGCCAAACTGCAACAACAAAAAAATAGCCCGGCATTGTGGTGGATGCCTGTAGTGCCAGCTACTCAGGAGGCTGAGGCAAGAGAATGGCCTAAGCCCAGGAGTTGAAGGTTGCTGTGAGATGTGATGCCATGACACTCTACCAAGGGTAATAGAGTGAGACTGTCTCTAAAACAAAACAAAACAAAACAAACAAAAAATCTCAGTATGGTAGATTTCTTTCTTTTCCGTGTAGTTCAATATAATTTAGGTACATATAGATTAGGACTATTTCGGTTAGCTAGCAATTTTCACTTTTGCTCATTATATGGTGACCCTATTTATTCTAGTATTGCTTGATATAATATGAACATTTGCTCATCCCAGTTTTCTTTTGTTAATATTACATCCATATTTTCCCCATCTTTTCACCTTCAACCTGTCTATATCCTTATGTATCTTGTATAAAGTATATAACTGAATTTTTTTTTTTTTGAGACAATCTTACTCTGTTGCATTGAGTAGAATGCCATGGCATCATAGCTCACAGAAACCTCAAATTCCTAAGCTTGAGCAGTTCTCTTGCCCCAGCCTCCCCTTTATAAGTAGCTAGGGCTACAGGAGCACACCACAATGCATGGTTAGTTTTTTTATTTTTAGTAAATGCAGAGTCTCGCTCTTGCTCAGGCTGGTCTCAAACTCCTGAGCTTGAGCTGAGCTATCCACCCACCTAGGTCTCCTAGAGTGTTAGGATATCAGATATGAGCCACTGTGCCCGGCCATATAACTGGATTTTTAAAAAAGTCTTCTGAAGTCATCCAAAGAAGAAAATGATACAAGTTTTCAAAAATGGGAAAATGTATTTGATCAAAATTTAAAACTTTTCCTTTTTAAGAGACACAATTAAAAAAATGAAAAGACAAACCACAGAGTGGGAGGAAATATTTACAAAACAGGTATCTGATAAATGACGTATACCCAGAACGTATAAAGAACTCTTAGAACTCAACTGGAAGAAGACAACCCAATGAAAACAACTGCCAAGAATGGGAAAAATTGGTCATTAAGGAAACACAAACTAAAACCACAATGAGATACCATAGTCACTAGAAGGGATAAAATTAAAAAAGACAATTCTAAGGTTGGTGAGGATGATGAGAACTGGAGCCCTAATAGATTGCTGGTGGAAATGTAACATTATAGAGCTACTTTGGAAAACAGTTCTTTTTAAAAACAGAGTTAAACATATATTTACCAAATGACTGAGCATTCCTGTTCCTAAGTGTCTATCTGAGAGAGCTAGAAACGTATGTCTACACAAAAACTTGTATGTGAATATTCACGATAGCCCAAGCTGGAGATCATCCGACTAGGTAAACAAAATGTGGCACATCCACGCAATGGAATGCTCCCCAGCAGTGAAAAGAAATAAAAAACTGATCCGTATGTGGAAGACTCTAGAGACCATTATGTGAGAGGCCAGACATGCATGAATTCATGAGACATGATTCCATGTGTATGAAATGTCTGAAAAAGACAAAAACTGCTTTACAAATTGAGAAACTAAGGCAGAGGGATACCTGGTAACATGCTCAGGGCCACGGCTAATAAGTGGCAGAGGCAGGATTTAAATCCACTAAACCTCCAGTAGCACCCCTTACACTGTGGAGGCCTTGGGAATAATTCATGGTCTAAGAAATCTGTTGATGGCAAAGCAGACCAGAGCCCTTCACCATCAGAAAATAGACACACAGGGTCACATTCCTCTAAAGTCTTGAGGTTCACAAAGTTCATAAATAATGTCTCTGAGAAGATTAATTTCATAAGCAAATCATAGGCAACTTGAATTTCATCCTTATGAAGGCTTAGGAAAATATTTCTTGCATATTATTTTAATTTAGGTAATTTGAACTGTTCTACAAAATGTACAAGATAAGATTTCTTCCACATATACAGTGTCCTGCTCCTGGACTCTGTCTATGTATCCTTGCTTCATTTATTCCTGGGCAGACAAACAGCAGACCCTTGTTTTACAAAGCAAATCATTGAAATCTCCTCAAATGCAAAGTCGTTTAGATGTTGGTAAACCGTAGGAGAGATCGTGTGGTGGAATTATGACATGGTGGACAACTTTGAAGCCAACTGAGGTGGAGAGGATCTTTTGAGAAGTGTGGTTATCGCAGAACAGTCTTCTAGGTCTTCCAGTTTTTCTACTATCTTTATAAGACTTTCCACTGTGTCACAGGATAGCACCCGGGAGGCATTGGCTCTGAACTTTGCCTCTAGGTCCTCCTGGCTCAGCGGTTTCCTCCAGTGACCATAGAAGGTATCAGAGCGATGGGTGAAGGTGGCCCGGTCCTTGAGGGTGACACTTATTTCACAGTACAGGGTGTTGAAGCTCGGCAGGTTGTCTGGAGGGTGCTCCAGCTCTATCTTACCGAGAAGCTCTCTCACCTGTGGCCTGTTGATCTGGTGTGTTTGGAATGATGGGACGGTGATGCTACCATCCAGCAGCACGGCACAGGTCACATATTGGAAGGAATGGCGGGCTTCATGCTCCGACTCTGGGAAGGGTCTGTTTACATACTGGACGTCTGGAACCCTGAGTACAACTTTCTCGATGCGCTCAGTGGGGAACCGGGCTCCCTCTGTGACCAAGTGCTTTCTCACAGATGCTGCTGCGTCTGCCACCCAGTGGGTAGCCAGATGGGCAGGAAAACTCTTGATGGCCACATCTTGGTGGTCCAGCAGCCAAGTGTGGGAATCTAGGTTTGGAAGGACTTTGGGGGAATAGTTGGTATAAAAGGCCCCAAATCCTGCCTTTAAGTCAAAGACGTGCTTGTTTCCTCGGAGACCCAGCATTGCCAGAAAAGCAGCCTCTATCCCATGCTTGCCGGCATTGCCAATGTGAAGGGGCTTGGTCTCGGTGGCAGCATTTGCTATGGGCGCCCCGGCATGAGAAACGGCAATGGCCAGGGCCTCTTGGCACTTCGTCAAGCTGAGTCCTAAAAGCTTGGATGCAGCCGCAGCACTACCCAAAGTTCCTACCACCGAGGGTGGATGGAATCTGGAAAGCAAAGAAGCCGAGTTGGAGAGTTACCAGCCTTACCCACCAGGGGGCAGTACAGCATCGCGATTAAGAGCATTCATATGGGCTGTGCTACCTCGGTTCAGGTCTCAGCTCTATCACTTAGCAGCTGTGTGATCCTGGGAACGTTATTCAACTTCTCCCTCTACCTGTTTTTGTTCTCATAATAATGTCTACCTCTTAGTGTTTTGGAAGCCTTGAAGGAATTCACATGTTTACAACAGTGACACATAGTGAGTTCTTTATAAATAGTAAAGTTATCATTTGCCAGAAAGGCAAAAGTTGTTGATTGCTGAAAGGTAAGGGTAAGTATTGAAGGTCTCATAGAGATTGTGAAACTTTACTGTCCAGTATTCCAATTTACTTCTCACTTGGCAGGCTAAGTGGCAAAATAAATATGAGATTGAACCCTGTGATATGGCCAATATTTGGCTATTTTTTATCTACAGGATGAACAGTTAAGGTAAGGATATTCTGAATATTCTCATTAGTCTGAAGAAACCCTATCAAATATCAGAGCAGATTCTGCTTTAAATCTGGGATCAGGAGTACTTAGAACACTCACAAATGCCAGAATGACATGAATCACATGGGATGAGAGGGCTAATTTATGTCATGATTGTGATTGATCTTTAAACCCAAAGGAAAATTTTCATTAGCACTTCTGAAGTCACACATTAGTGTCTGGATATAGGGTTTTGTATGTGACTTATCTGTCAGCACTAATGCTTACACCTTCAGCTGAGCTGACCTCAAGGCCGGAAGTTCTATGGAGGTAATGAGGGGCAGATGAAGAGGAATATGGCTGCCTCTCCATGGGACAAATGCCATACCTCTTTGGAATATCATTGGCTTCCTTGGAGAAATGCAGTAATCGGCCTTGCACTTCAATACCAACATTGAAAGCCAGCAGCAGGTCAAGGCCAGAAAACTTTGGACTCTGAGGCAGGGCTTCTGATAAAGCTGTGATGACAGGAAGGACAGCCCCGGAAGGGTGAGTGGCAGGGTGCCACGTATCATCAAAGTCCATTGAGTGAACCTATGTAAACAGACAAAACAACAAAAACAAAATTTTCCCCGACTATAATTGCTTTAGACCAGTTTTGCTTTGAAATGATCTCGTTTGATGTGAGTTTTTTTTTTTTTTAATTTGATTCTCCAAAAAGAAGCCTGAGAACTGGCTGTGAGTTTTAATCATGTGGCCGGGCACAGTGACATGCCCAGAGGATGGAAGGACGTTGGAGAGCAGGTCACAAGCCCCTAGGACCTTGTATCTTGACCAGGTGGCCTGTGCTCTCTTTGCCATAGCCCTTGGAAAGACCTATATCCCCCTTTAAAAACAAAGCTGCAGAATCAGGTGGCTGTTGCTTCCTCCCTCCCCCATCCTTTAAACAAGTTGCTCTAAAAGTTCAATGTCATGTATTCCATATCAGCCCATATAGTTTTCTGCCTTTTCATTATGAAGTAATTTCAAACTTTTAGGGGAGTTGCAAGAATAGCATAACAACTCTAAAACCCGGGTTAACTGTTAAACTGTATTTTAAAATTATTGCTTTTGTTCTTTAAAGTTTTATTGCTCTATATCCAAGCTATTTTCTTTTCCCTTGTATGAAAATAGTAATAACCAGAAGTTCATTTAATAAGTTTTTATGCCTATTTCATGTGGCTGGTGCATTTCCCACTGCTTGCTGGTCATTTACTCCTGAATGCACTGTTGGGTTCGACTTTCAATATTCTGAGCTACTTTGTCCTCATCAACCATAAAAATACCTCGAAAATCCTCAACATCTTCATTTCTAAGTTATATCTTATAGAATACTGCCCTTGACACACAGAGAAAGCATAAAAATCATTGGTCAGATGAGAAGTGATGATTTGGGGTTCATAAAATATATATATGCTATGTGGCTATTGTTCCTTTCTCAATAAGTATGTCCTGAATGAATAGATGAATGAATGAAAATCACATTACCAGATAGAAACTGGCACCCACCACAGAAAGAACTGAGAAGAAATTGTGTCTGGATATTGGGTTTTATGCTATTTTCTATATACATTTAAGGTTTACAGTTGGGATATCTTAGGAATAGTTTGTCTAAATCTTTCCCCTTCTATCTTATTTCCTTTATTGTACAATTTATTTGAAAAGGATCAATTTGCCCTAAAAAGACATGAAAACTAAATTAGTACACAGGAGAAAGGATGGGCCCATTTATCTCTTTGGATTTTAACTATGTCATCTGTAAAATAGGGAATTGGGGTGATTTCTGAGATATTATCTGGCTCTAAAATTATTAAAATTATTATTAAAATTATTGAATATTGAAAATATTCAATAGTTGAAGAAAAACGAAAATTTCCTTACAGCCACACCGTTAACAAAAGCAGCATATGCAGGTGGGAGCCTGAAGTCTGGCTGACCCCAAACAGTGCTGGATATGTTGGAACTATAGATCTGAAACAAAAGAATATCAATTAGTGAATGCAATGTGAACACGATACACCAAGTCACCATATCAAGAGTTACTCTTCTTCTTTGGAGGCATTCTGTTAATAGTTCTTCCTTGAACCCTTTGTTCAAGATAGAAGCCTTGGTCATTGATCCTCTCTTCCTTGCAGAAGAATACCTAACTTTCCTCATGGAAGGGAGAGGAGGTGCTGTATTGTAAACCAGCAGTGCTGCAGGGATGCGTGTCTGAACTGACTCCTACTTGCTTCTTGTGGTAAGTACCAGGGAAGGTGGCCTAGCCGGCTATACCGGCTCGCCCTATGGAGAGCCATCCTGCATCTCCCATGTACCCGCTCTGCTCAGAGTACTCGACTGAGCTCTTCTCCGGGGAATCTTAAATTCTTTGCACCAACAAATGATCTGTGATCGGTGCTACTCCTTGTAAGACTTTCAGGTTAAAATGTGCTTTTAGTTATCACAACTATGTTATAACATTATAATATATTATAAATTGTGAGATATTACTAGTACATGGTTTTAAGGCAGTGACTTAGTAAAGGGTAGGGATGGTAAAACTCAGATACTGAAACACAGAAAATCATAGAACCACATAGAACAATGTGATCTACATCATGCACTATTTATAATACTAAGTATAGAGTAAACAAAACATGCGTGTGCACACTTGCTTTTATCTCTGAAGTAGACTTTGAGCTCCTTACTTTGCTATATTGGCTGGCTTTGCGGAACACCTCTGTGCTGGTTCCCAGGAACCCAACTCCCAGGGTATCCAGAATCATCCTCTTGCTCCTCTGAATAACTCGATCTGTAAGGTGTCCCACTTTCAAGCCATGGATCACTCTAGCGAAACTTTCTGTGACAGACTTTGGAGGGAAGAGTGTTAGAACAGTCGTATGCTCCACTTTGTACTTGATTCTTATGTAGAGTTTTACTCCCCTAGAATAAACCCAGTTGATGAATTTTTGTTCAAATTTCTAAAAAAAATGATGTGTACTAAGCACCTACTATGTGTGAGACTTAGGGATGTAGAAATGCACAGTAGCCAGTGTCTGGCCTCTGTCTGGTGGAGGAACAGGCTAGTAGGCAAATGACAATGACAGCACATGATGGGCAATGGTGGAGGGGAGCCCAGAAAGTTGGGGTGACGGGAAGGACACCTCACCCCTGTAATGGGGATTGCTGGGAGCGTGTGTGGTACACTCAGACAGCTGCCTTTTAAAGATGTGTCCAGGTGTTGCGCTGAGTGTGTCAAATGCATTGTCCATTTAATACCCACAAATCTCTAGGTAGGTGTTCTCGCAGTTGAGGAGACTGAGATTTAGGAAATTGAAGCTACTAATTTTCACAGGTCTTAACTGGTAGAACCTGGACACAAACTCCTCTAAGTCTAACCACAAGATCAGTGCTTCTGGCTTTTAAAGTACCAATCTATTTTTTGTGGTATATTTTCTTTCTTTTTTACCATTTTTGGAGCTTTCATTTCTTTGTATGGATCAGGGGTTGGCACACCATGACTCATGGGCTAAGGCTGGCCGGCTTCCTCTTTCTGTAAATGGGGTTTAACTGGATACAGCCATGCTCATTTGTTTACATGTGGTGTGTGCTTGCTTTAACCCTGCAGTGGAAGCTCAGGTTTTCTAAAGTGTGGTCTGAGGAATGTGAGAATGAGAACTACCT